TGTTACAGTGTGGTCCCTGCTTAGCAGTGCACACAGAGCAAATTCAGAATGTGAATTTGGTGTCAAATCCTGTTGGCTGCAGCAGGTAGAGGGGAGGGATGTTGTGATTCCCGAGGCTATAGAGTCACACCTGGGCCCTGCCCGTGGCCCTGGTGTGCTGGAGTGCTCGGACAGGAACCACTGATCTCTATTCACTGGCTGTGCCTGCCTGGCTCAGTCAGTCACCGGGTCAGTGACAGCAGTGCCATCCAACATTATGGATGTTTAATAAAGTGACCAAATTTCCAAATATTCCTAAATTCCTGGAGGTGAGGCTTCCCTGGAAATACAGCCTTGGCAGGGAGGGGGATTGAGGTGTGAGTTGTGGGGAGAAGGGGCACTTAGAGAGAGTGTAATTGCTCCTTGGTTTGGATACTAATCATTATTGCACCTAAATTCTACACATATTAAAATGAAAAACGGCGTAATGTGACATTGTGGATGCTCTGGTGTTGTAAGGTGCTTGTTTCAGTGTTAGTTTAGAGCTGTGCTTGTTCAGGATGAGTTAGAAATGGGATCTAATATGGAATGTGTTTGTGCCACAGCCACCCTGGTTACTTTGGGAAGGTGGGCATGAGGCACTACCACCTGAAGAGGAACCAGAAGTTCTGTCCCACGGTGAACCTGGACAAGCTGTGGACGCTGGTCAGCGAGCAGACCAGGCTCAACTACGCCAAGAACGAGGCGGGCCTGGCCCCGGTCATCGACGTCGTGCGCTCGGTGGGTGCTGCTGGGCCGAGCCTGGCACTGCTGGGGCTGGGCCTGGCACTGCTGGGGCTGGGCCTGGCACTGCTGGGCCGAGCCTGGCACTGCTGGGCTGGGCCTGGCACTGCTGGGGCTGGGCCCGGCACTGCTGGGGCTGAGCCTGGCACTGCTGGGGCTGAGCCTGGCACTGCTGGGCTGGACCCTGCACTGCTGGGGCTGAGCCTGGCACTGCTGGGGCTGAGCCTGGCACTGCTGGGGCTGGGCCTGGCACTGCTGGGCTGGGCCTGGCACTGCTGGGGCTGGGCCCTGGACTGGGCCTGTCCTGCTGGGGAGGTGCTGAGCTGCACATCAGCTGCAGTGCTTTGTGCTCAGAGGCTCACCACACAGATCCCTGGGCTCTGAGTACTTACAGGAGCACTTTGGGTGTTGCATTTTTCCCTGTAAGGACTTTTGTCCTGCTGGTGTGTGTGTGTGGGCAGGCACTGCCCTCCTTTGGGGAGGTGGTGAAGGATGGCTGGTTTGGAATGTTCCTGAGGGAACAAAGCCATGGTGGAGCCGGTCTCCCACCATGTCACCCTCGAGACTAGAGTCACATCTCCACATGTCTGGTTGTCTTGGTGTGCTATAGTTCTCGGACAGGAACACCTGATCCAAATTCACTGGCTCTGATGTCCTGTGTCTCAGCCAGCCACCGAATCAGGGACACTGCTCTGCCTCTGCTGGCCACTTAGGGCCACTTCTCACCTCCTGTGACTCCAGCAGCTGTTTTGTTAATTGTCTTCATGTCATTTAATGTAATGAATTGACTGGATAAGATCATGGTGATCATGGTTCTGTTTTAACCGGTGTGTGCTAACAGGTCTGAATGTGGGAGCCTGTGAGCTCATTACAAACACTGAACTTCTTTTTTAAATCTTTCTAGGGCTACTACAAAGTGCTGGGCAAGGGGAAGCTGCCCAAGCAGCCTGTCATTGTGAAAGCCAAGTTCTTCAGCAGAAGAGCAGAGGAGAAGATCAAAGAAGTTGGTGGTGCCTGTGTGCTTGTGGCATAAAAGTTTTTGTTTTATTCAAATTTTTTGAATAAACAATGCATAAAATGAGCTGGTTTACAGAAGTTTGGGTTGTTCTGATTTTTCTTTCCTGACTTCTCCAGACACAGCACACACTAAATCTTACCTGCATAATATTTGATCAGTGGTTTGACCGCTTCTCACTTAATATTGAAATTGCCTGACTGCAGTGTTTGGTACCTGCCATGTGCAGATGTCTCATTGTTTTGTGGGTGGTAAAATTAAGTTCTGAATGTGTGCTGCTCTTTTGTTAGTAATCCTTTCTACAGCTGTCTGAAAAGAGCACTTGATGTGATTTGATGGGGTTTCTTGGAAACTGAAGTGACATCCAGGGGAATTTGTGGGGATGGTGCCCTGGCCTGTGGGAATGGAACAGGAATGTGGACAAGGAAATGCCAAGTGACAGCAGTGCAGCAGTAGCTGTAAATTGACATTTGCAATCCCTGCCCTCCCCAGGCTGAGTGTGCAATTCCTGCAGTTCCCAGCTGTGGGACAGTTGGTGCCAGCCATCCTCAGCCTTCCTTACAGCTGGCAAAGCAGTGGCACAGCTCTGGAACTGCTCTGTGTGCAGTGCTGATAGATTGGTTTAAAATGATAACCTGAAATAATCCTTGCTTGGTTGTAACATCAAAGCAGGACTTGTGGTGTCTGCAAGGCTTCTCTCTGTGTGCCAAAGCAGGATTTAAAGGAAAAAATAACTAATAAATAATAACAAATAACCAAAACCAGTGAGCTGGTTCTCAAGTGTCAGAGCAAGAGCCTATAGATGCATTTTATGCTTGCTGCTGAAGTTGATGTACATGACTTGAACTATGTGTGTGGTAGAATCCTGGTTAATCAACTTCTAACCCAGTGTTTGGCAGCAGTTAAATTTAGAGGGCTTTTAGGGTGAGGTTGATGTGCATTCCATTTATAAAACAGTTCATCTTAGCCAGTGGTCCTGCTGCTTGTGAATATCTGGCATAAGTGGGCAGTTTGTTCCAGAATACAGAGGAGTTTGGGAGCTGTGTCCCACTGACTGCTGGGACTGCTGTTTCCTCATTTGTGATGGTGGATATAGCTCAATCTCCCACTCTCTGGCCCCAGCCATCCAGCCAGCTCCTTATCCAGTGCCCAGTGACCCCTCCAGGCCATGGGCAGCCAGTTTCTCCAGGAGAATGTGTGGGAAGTGGTGTCCAAGGCATTCCTGCAGACAGACAGACAGACGGACAGCTACAGCCTTTCCCTCAGTACCAAGGGGGTTGCCTTGTCAGCAGAGGAGATTGGGTGGGTTAGGCAGGACCTGCCTTCTGTGAGCCCACACTGGCTGGGTCTGATGCCCTGGCTGTTGCACAAGTGTCAATTGATGGTGCTTGAGCTGATCTGCATCACAACCTTCCCCAGCACCAAGGTCAGGATTGCAATTCCCTGGATTCTCTTTCTGGGCTTTGCAGCTCATTGCATTCATCAGCCCTCTCCTCCAGCTGCCTGACTACTGCTGTGCATACCTGCCTCAGAACTAAATTTTAAACACATTTTTTTCACTCTTACTCTTCCTCTTCCTACAAAAAAACTTCTACTCAGTTTTGCATGTTGTTCAAAAGGCCTAAATTGAGATTTACAGTAGCCTGCTTCTGCTCATCCTGCTCCAGCTTTGGCTTGTAAGGTGACAGAGCATTTCCCAGTATCAGGCTTTGTTTGCCCTGGTTCTCTGTGCATGGATGCTTTGGGCTGTGGTTTCTCTGTGTCAACATTGTGGTAGTTTCAGACCTCAGCTTCCTACTGCAGACATGACATGTTTTTGTAGGTGCAGCTTTGTCTTCTTAGCAACAGGAGCTGCAAGAAATGACAGAGATGAGATGAGGTGAGAGGCTGTGCTGCTTCAGTGACACTTGCCCTTGATAGATGGTTGATAAAGATGCACTGTAAAAAGTGAGCTTGTGTAATAGGTGCTGATAAAATGTTAATTAAACCACAGGTACAGCTCATCTCCAAAGGGCCCTCTGGTTTTTGGAATTGGAATCTGAAGTTTTAGTGGTAGGTTTGAATTTATCTAAAGAATTTGTCAGTCAAGTTGGTGGGTATCTACCTAGTTGAATGGGTCTTGGGTATGAAATAGGATGCAGTCTTTAACATGGGGTCCATTTTTCTTCGAAAATATTTGAAATACTGAAGACTTCAGGATACAATGCTTTAAAAAACTACTGGTTGTTAATTTCTGAGACATTCATAATTTTTTTTGCATTGCAGAATAAAAACCCAAACCCAGTTCTGCTTACTAACCATTTCCACTGGAATCTAGCAGAAGACAGAATCCCCCAGGAGAAGAGATAGCCCTAGGATTAGAGCTGCTGCTCTTCTGTGCTGGGGAAATCTGGAGGTTGAATCTCATTCCTGTAGCTTCAGTTCCATCCTGCTGGTAGCAGGGCCACCATGCCAGGGCCATCAGCAGCTCCATGGGACTCTGGTGCCAGGAGGCTGGATCAGCTGGAAGAGTGGCTCCAGAGGAAATGAGGCTTCATCTGCTTTCTCTCCTCTGGTACAACTTGCAGGAGTTGCCCTTTGCAGTCTGTATCTGATCAACATCTCTGACAATCTCAGAGCTGAGGATGAAACATGAACTGCAAACTCTCAATTGACCCTGGGGAGCTTAGGCTGGTGGGAGGAGTGCTGGGAAGCTCAGGTTTGGTCTATAATCTGATCTGTGGCCATCCTAATAGCTAAAATTTGATTACTGCAAAGTGCTTTTTCTATAAAGAAGATTGTCAGAAGATGCTGTACATTTTTCAAAGCAGCTTTCTAAGATGCATTGCTGAAATGATGGACTTGTGGGTACTATTTTCTTTACATGAAAACTGTAAAATATTTGAGAGAAATTGTAAAAGCAGCCAGAGAATCTCATCATTTTAATTGCAGTTTCAGTGCTTCTAGCAGGAAGTGTACAGCGTGTGACAATTCAGCTTTGCACGGAGATCAATAGCACAGATTAGTTCAGTTTCTACAGAAGTTGCAAATACTAGAGAGATAGTGGGATCATGGTTTGTAAACCTTAAACCACTCTTTCCTGCACAACAATCTGCAAAGATATTCTCCTCTGTAAAGCAGGTAAGTGATTTTCAGCTGCAAGGACCTTTTTTTTCCACAGGGGCCACATTTGATTGTGCACCCCGTGTTGCCCTCTGGTTTGCACTTGAGAGATCGAGTGTTTTGTGAGGTGCAGGGCTTGCCATGAGCCATTTTGTGACTCTCCATGTTTTCAGGGCCACACTTGAGCCAGCAGGGATGGAGGCCCTGGATCTGCTGTGGAATTGTTTGGTGTGCAAATGGGAGCTGCGGAGGAGGGAGCCCAGGATGCTGCCCTGCCTGCACTCCTTCTGCAAGGAATGCCTGCCAGGCTTGATCCAAGGATACAGCTGTGTTCCCACTGAGTATGAAGTTCTCTATGAAGGTAATGCTTAAAAACCTCTGGCTTGTGCTCTTTGCAATGCAGTGTTATAAAAAGAGATGCACTGAGAAGCACTTTTTGAAGCATATTCTTCTACAGCACTACTTGAAATTGATAAATTGGGAGAGTAGACATTTGTGTGAGCAGAAAGGGGATAGGGAGCAAGCCACCTTTGTCATGTTTTTCATCCAACAGCAGTGTTTTGAAAAGAAATAACATAGTTAGGCAGCATTTTAACATTTTTTTCAGAATGGGCTGAATGTTTCACTTACCAAGCTGACATTATCAATATTTGATTTTCTTAGCTTAATAAATGAATAAATGCTACAAGATAGCTTCCAGAGCAAAATATTTTTGCAGTCTTTTTGACATGCTGGACCTTTCCGTGGTTCTGGTTGTGGTGATAGTTTTGCTCTTCCTTCACCCCGTCCTTCAGTGCCTCCTCACTAACAGCACAAAACCACTCAGTTCTTTTTTTTCTAAAAGAGGTAATAATAATTGTTACATAATAATTATGGTAATAAGGTAATTGGGTAATAATTACATATGTGTATTCTGGTGCACTGAACTCTTATCTTGTTGTCAGTGTTGTTTTCCTTAACAAGGTAAACAATCTTGGCTGTAACTCACCCTAACAAGCTGAGTAAACCAGTGAGGACAAGAAGAATTTTTTGGCTGCGCCTTTTGAAATCTTAGAGGTATTTGTAGAGTTCTTGGTCATGATGTTACTAGAAGATGTGTAACTTTTTTTTTTTTTTTAATAAAACCTCGATGGCAGAATATAGTAATTTTAACTGAAAGTGTCTTAATTGCTGTGGGGAAGCATTCCAGACTCATTACTAATTTATAAGATGAGCAAAGCATGTGGATAACTTGTGTTTTCACAGGCTTTGAACTTTAGTTGAGTAGGAGGCATCATTTATTGTCTCTTCTGTAGCAGATTTTAGAAACATGTAGGAAGAGAAGACACCTTCCCTGAGGTGAGGGTGATCAGAACTGATGAGATGGCATAAACCAGACTAGTTCAGGTTTGAGAACAAATGGAATCCGTGTTCAGAGGTCACTGTTGGAAGGCTGGCACAACACAAAAGCTAAAGGAAAAGGCAAAGGAAAAAGGCTGTTCATTTGTAGGGTACAGGGGAAAAGATGTGAAAGTGGGAGAAGGAGAGAAAGAGAACAAGGCAGTCATTGCAAGTAATGTCTCCCTAAAAAATTTAATGTTTGGTCACAGTAGGCCTAAAGTCTGAGGGACCTCTCTGCAATAAAATACTGTTGAAAAAGGCACACCATTAATTTTTATGTATCCTCATTTGGCATCTCAGCCATTTCTCTCCTCCTCCTTTCTGCTCACCAAGTGGAAAGGTGAATTTCTGCCACTTGCTTATCTTGGATGAAGTGCAGCTACAGGTTCTAATGAGTTCTTAAAATGTTGGATATTTCTTTAAGGCGGATCATGAATTGTTTGTGTATAGCAACATGGAATAAATACTAGTTTATTTCTGTATTCCTGAAGTTTTTCTGTTTACTTTTTCATTCTTGTGTAGATAGGGAACTTGTGTGGGAAAGAGCAAGACTGGAGACAAGAAATAATTAACAGTGATGACCCAGTAAATGAAGCGAGACACCAGGTGCAGAGACTCAGTTAATCTATGAGCAAGGAAAGTAGCAAAACCAAAACACCTGTGTCTCTTAATTAAGCCAATGACTGAAACTGCAGCCCCCACAGGTCAGGCAGGATAAATTTGTGAACTCTGCTAATGGCGTGATGTAAAGCGTTGCTTACCTGCACTGAGTGCTGGGGTATGGGCAGTACAAGTCCATTTTCCAGTGTCATCTTTGAGTTTGACCAAATGCAGGTTCCAGTGGTAAAGGGTAAGTGCAAGTGCTAAACCATTGTAGCTGAGTAAATCTAAAACATTGCCTCTAAGAAAAATGTGTTCCTTCCTCACTATGAGTTCCTCAAGCAAGATGTAAGGGTGGAAAAAATGAATGTATTTGCAAGTGAAGTTATTCTGGTATTTGTCACAAAAAGAATATTTGAATGTGCAGGTTTCTGTAGGCTTTACTATGTGTAGTATTCTGCTAACATAAAACTCTTTTCTAGTTTCTTGTTTTTTGTTTGTTGTTTTGTACTGAAGTTGCTGAGAATCTGAGAGTAAATGGTCCTGACGTTTGATGGGGGTTGGTGTTAAAACTTTTATTCCTGTGTGTGTTTGAGGTGATTCCTGAGTAAGAGCCCTGAGGTAGCAGCCAGAGCTCCTATGGAAAAGCTGCATAGCCACCAGAATTTATCCAAACTGTGAGAACTGAGAGTTTGGGAGTAATTTGAGTGGAAAAAGGACGTCATCTTTGTGAGTTTGGCTCCTACATATGCTTTTTCTATGAAGGGAACTTTAAGCTTCTCAGGCTTTCTTTAATATTTCTTTCTTCTTTTTTTTTTTTTTTTTGGTTGGTTGTTTTTTTGGGGATTTTTTTGGTGTTTTTTTTTTTTTTTTTTTTTTTTTTTTTTTTTTTTGCAGGCCAGTGTTGCTTTCTTATTTTTATTCCTTGTCTTCCTGTAACAGAGGATCCACATCCTCCTCCTCTACAGATTTCCATGTTATGTATTTCCAGTCTGTTTACTGCATGGGTAAAAGAGTAATTTTCAAGAGAGGGCTTGAGTAAGGAAAAAAAAATGTTCTCACATCTCTTGAGAGGGAAGTGTCTCAGATTAGTTCTTTCCCAGCACCTGCCTGTGTGAGTTGCCACTCATGGTGCAACGTTGGTTCTTGCTTCCTTGGGTCTACCTCTTTCTCATGAAGGTGTAAATACATTCAAAACCAGATTAATCCAGGTTCCTGTGTTATCCCTCCTCTCTGAACTGGAGGTGGATGCCAAAATAAATTACCCCACATCTGCAAATCTTCCTCTCTGTAAGATGTTCAGTGATATAAGTTGATTTAGCGCTTTAAATATCACCAACATGTTCATTCCAGAAGTAGTCAAATGAGGCCCAGTGGAGGTGCATTGTTGGGAGAAGTTTATGTTTTTGCCAGATTGTCTCAGCTAAAGGGTTTATTGGGATTTTTTTTCCTTAAGAAAAAGAAAAATCACAGGTAATTGCTGCTCAATCACAGTTAGGACCCCTGAGAACAAGGCAGATCAAAAAAGATGTACTGAAACACCTTATGGAATTCTGCTAGCTGATACGAGCCCTGGAATTCTTAACATTTTGTGACCAAATTGGGTAATTAGCCTAACCTGTTAAGTAAAAGGTTATTAGTAGTTTTTCACTTTTGTAAATTGCTTTGTGAAGTGGTGGATTTAATTGTATGATGTCTTTGTATTGAACTTGTGTGTTGAGCTATTACTTTCTGCAATTTCATTTAAAAAATGTTCTTTGCCCTTTTGTACTTCTTGAAGTTGGATGACAAAAATCCTGGAAAATGGCTGCATAATTTCTGCCCATATTCTCTGCATAACTCAAAAACTGTCCATGCTTGTGTTGTGTTCACTTAATGCCAAGAAATGTGATAGGGTCATGTATTAGAGAAATGCAAACAGATTGGAGAAAACCAAACTTTTAAACAGAGACAATGTGGCTTCAACTGTTGACAGATGTCCACTTGCTGCATTTTATTATTTCCAGCTGAAAATAAAGTTTTCTTCAGCCTGTATGGTAGGAGATATATATCTATATATCTGTGCATCCTTAATTGTGAACATTTGTTTGTAAGGAGCATCCAAAAGTCAGCAAGGTGTTGATCAGAGAGATCTTCAGGGTATTTATTTCAGGAAAAGGATTGAGTCTAGGATTTCTTTGGCTCTGGGCTCATTTTCAGTATGAAGTTTTGACACAGGAATTGCGGAGCACTGGCTTAAGGAGACTCCAGGTGTTGACACATTTGACACACAGTGCCTTAGCTTGTATTCAGCCTGTATTTAAATAATAAAAAATAAATATACGAACAAAAAGCCATCTACGGGGTTCTGTAAGGCACAATTTAGTTCACAGTGAGGCAGTTTAGCTGCCTTGGTGGAGCTGTGGCATCTCCAGGATACCCAATAACCTTGTTTTGATGCACTCATTGAAGGCAGGTGATGCAATGCAATGATCTGTTCATCCTGAAGGACAACAGCCTTTTGCTTTAATTAGAGCCACTCAGAACCAAGGGCATGTTTTACCTCTAAAAGGGGAGTAGAAAGATTATTCTGAAGAGAGAAACTTTTCATAATGTATATATTTAGTAACTTAAAGTGGGTTTAAAGTTAGTGAGCCCTTTGCACTGTGCTGTTTGGCTGCCAGGGCCAAAAGGCAAGTGAAACTTTGAGGGGTTTAGTTATATAAATATGGAACTGTGGAGTGGGAGGTTGTCTTCAGAGCTGTTTCCTATAACCTATAATTGGGTCTCCAAGGAAATGCAAATTCTGCCTGCAGCTTGAGGTGTAGTTAATGCTCGCTGAGAATAATTATTCTGATGGTTGTTGGAAGAAAAAGAGCAGAGGAATAGGTGCAACATGTGGACAGCAAGTACAAATGTGGTGTGTGTAGCAGCTCCACTGTTTGTTCCTTTATGCTAATCGATCCTCATGATAATAAGTAAATTATCTGCATTGATTTATTTCTGAGGCAGCCAGCTTGGAGGTTCTTTCTATTTAACCCTGAGCAGGCTGGAAGACCTTGAAACAAAACTGAGCTGTAGCTTTTGATGTACTTGATGTCCATGGGTGGTGGAGAGGTTATAGTTGGCACTTGAGAGATGATTTCTGTAAATGATCCATAGCTCTGTCACCTAGAAATTAGATTACTGCTGTATAGGTGGAGTAAAAACCTTGACACTATTCAGAAGTTCTAGTTCTTTCTTTATTTGTTCTTTTACAAAGGGACACTCTAAGTGTTATTATTGCTGGGCCCAATGCATGGTGGAGCTTCCATTCACAAAGTGCTGTGGGATGTGAGAGATCCGAGCCGGGGCTTGGGCAGGATGAGGCAGAACCTTGTTCTTTTCCTGAAGCTGATTTTG